ATATATACATAAGTACATATCTTTGTATGTGTATCTAATGAGGTTCATTAAAAGATGAGGATGTAGTTTATTCAACTGGCCACTAAAAGCATGAACCCCCTTTCTTTGCTGAAAAAATTAAACTGTTGTCAATTTATCTCAACTTTTGAAGATTGCAGGCTAGGGAAAGCATAATTAACGCGGATGTTGAGACCAATGATATCAATATCATCGAGGCAGCTGTACACTCTTATAGAAGATCGCACCTGCTCAATTAAACTCCGCACTTCGAATTATTTTCTCCACAAATAGATTGAAGACGTCGCACGAAAAGTAGTCGCCTTGTCTGAAATCTCGTTTGGTATCGAACAACTCGGAGATATTCTTTACGATCCTGATGGAGCTTTTGGTATTGCTCAACGTCTGTCTTTCACACGATACGGTGGATAGGATGTTATATGCGATGTTGAGAAGCCCTATCCCACGGTAGTTGACGCAGATCGTGTGACATTTTTTGTGGATTAGACAGATTTCAAATCATCTTCAACAAAGAAGCAATCCAAGATCCCTACCGCTTTGTTATTCTTCACACGGGTAATTGCTATTCGAATTTCTGCATGGTCGGGCAATGGATCGTTTATTCCAGCTACATTAATTGGGGAATCGGGTTCGCCTTCTGCTGGCGTTTTCTTTTCACTGCCATTCAGCAGGCTGGAGAAGTATTCCCTSCATAATTTTAGTATGCTCTGGGCATCAGTCACTAGAACACCACTGGGGGTTCTACGAGAGTATACTCCGGTCTTGAAACCTTCTGTTAGACGCCGCAACTTTTCGTAGAATTTTCTCGCATTATCACTTTTGACCAGCTTGTCAAACCCTTCATAATCTGGCATTTCATCTCTTTTTTTTCGTCTGTAAATGCGTCTCGCTTCCCTCTTCAAATCTCGGTATCTATCTCATCCCGCACGTGTTGTAGTCTATCTGTTCTCTTCGCTGCGACACGGCACTCCTCATGTTAACGGCTGTATTTTTTTTTGCATTTTCTGAAAATCAATGGTTTCATTTGCAGCTGGACGTAAGATGCTTGAAATGTCGTCTCCAGTTGCCTTATACCAAGTTGTTGACGAGTGCTCTCAGAGAGTGGAGTGCAAGTCGAGTAGAATATCGTTCGGCTGCCTGTTGTAAATGCAGCTTCTCGACGTCGAAGCTTTCTTTTGTTTGTTGACGTGCGTTTTTTGGCGCACGGAGGCGGGTGCGTATCTTGGCTGCAACAAAATAGTGATGCGAGTCGATGTTAGGACCTCGGAGCGTACACACGTTTAAAACAATGGAGACGTGTCTTCCGTCTATCACAACATGATCGATCTGGTTGATGGCTTTTCGATCCGGAGACAGTCGGGTAGCTTGATGAATTTTTCTTTGCCATCAAAAGGGGGGTCTCTCATCCGAGGCTGTAAACAAATTTTATATTTTTAGACCAGTTTGCTTAGTTAAATTCCTGTTTTCGTTTAGGGTCATATTGAAGTAGTACTACTTAGTTTCAAAATGGGATAAGATCTCATGTGCTCATCAGTTCTTTAATACATCTATGGAAAGAATGTTTTCTATTCAATTTTTATCTATTTTATCTGCACAATGGCTAAATGAGAGTGTAATAGAGTCATCCCCATTAAGAAATGTTCAAAAGCTAAATGTATTCCTGGCCTGAAAACTAAAAGTTCAAAACAGTTCCCACAGAAAATTTCGAGAATATTTGTGCCGATTTTTGTACATTATTCCTATTTATATGTACATATATCTCCAAATCTTTGATACTCATATAGTTGTCTCATTCTTCGTTTCTAACTTCTTAATTCTTTATATGTCTCTCTCTCTCTCTTTTTTCCAGATCGTTGCCCGTCGCCATGATCTCAAACTGATCGTCACTTCTGCCACGATGGATTCCACGAAATTCGCCACATTCTTTGGTAATGTACCGAACTTTACCATACCCGGACGTACATTCCCTGTCGATGTGATGTTCAGTAAAAATACTTGTGAGGACTATGTCGAATCAGCGGTCAAACAAGCACTACAAGTCCATCTTACGCCCAATGAGGGTGATATGCTAATATTCATGCCCGGTCAAGAGGATATCGAAGTCACTTGTGAAGTGTTGGCCGAACGTTTGGCAGAAATCGACAACGCACCCGAACTATCCATACTACCGATCTACTCGCAATTACCCTCCGATCTACAAGCGAAAATATTTCAAAAATCACCTGAAGGCTTACGCAAATGTGTGGTCGCCACAAATATCGCGGAGACCTCACTGACGGTCGACGGCATTATTTATGTCATCGATTCGGGTTATTGTAAACTAAAAGTCTACAATCCACGTATCGGTATGGATGCACTGCAGATTTATCCCATATCGCAAGCGAATGCAAATCAACGTTCGGGTCGTGCCGGTCGTACAGGACCCGGACAGGCGTTCCGCCTCTACACGCAGCGACAATACAAGGAAGATCTACTGCCACTGACGGTGCCCGAGATACAACGTACCAATTTGGCGAACACGGTATTGTTGCTGAAATCGTTGGGCGTTGTGGACCTGCTGCAGTTCCATTTCATGGATCCACCACCTCAAGATAATATTCTCAATTCGCTGTATCAGTTGTGGATACTCGGCGCTTTGGACCATACTGGCGCATTGACACCGCTCGGCCGACAGATGGCCGAGTTTCCGCTCGATCCGCCGCAGTGCCAAATGCTGATCGTTTCCTGTAAAATGGAGTGCAGCGCTGAGGTGCTCATCATAGGTAAGCATGTGTTTAGCCTGTCAGCTAAGAAATTTTCATGCAATACTTGTATTTCCCTCGCTTTTGCAGTATCTATGCTTTCTGTGCCCTCGATTTTCTACCGACCCAAGGGACGCGAGGAAGAAGCTGATGGTGTGCGAGAGAAGTTCCAAGTACCAGAATCGGACCATCTCACCTACCTCAATGTGTACCTGCAGTGGAAGCAGAATAAGTAAGTAATTGCCGCTAATTTCCTCACTAACATTCACTAACATACTTCAATTTCTTTTTCACTTTCACACAGTTATAACTCCAGCTGGTGTAATGAGCACTTCATACACGTCAAGGCCATGCGTAAAGTGCGTGAAGTTCGCCAACAGCTTAAGGATATTATGATACAGCAAAAACTCAATGTGAAATCCTGCGGCACCGATTGGGACATTGTGCGCAAGTGCATTTGTTCGGCGTATTTTTATCAAGCCGCACGCCTCAAAGGCATCGGCGAGTATGTCAACTTGCGTACAGGCATGCCGTGCCATCTCCATCCCACCTCTGCGCTCTATGGACTCGGCACCACGCCCGATTATGTGGTCTACCATGAGCTTGTAATGACTGCCAAAGAGTATATGCAATGCGCCACAGCCGTCGACGGTTATTGGTTGGCCGAACTGGGTCCTATGTTCTTCTCTGTTAAAGAGACCGGTCGCAGCGGGCGTGAGAAGAAGAAACAGGCAGCGGAACATCTGAAGGAAATGGAGACACAGATGCAGTTGGCACAGGAACAGATGGAAGAGCGCAAATTGCAAGCGGCCCAACGTGAGGAACAAATGACGCCGAAGCAGGAGATCATAACACCCGGTGGTGCCACGCCCAGACGCACGCCAGCGCGCATTGGCTTGTAATTGTTGCAAGTTCACAGACAAGCAAACATATGTGTGTGCTTATTGACTCGTGTTACGTCTGTTATGTCCGTGGAGTGTGTGTTCTCTGTGTTCACTAGACCAATTTAATATTCTGTATTTAATCATTGAAATAAAGTGAATTACGAAGGTGTGTTGCAAATCGGATTATTGCATATTTATTCGAACATTTTGTGTAGCCGATTGTTATGGGGGGAACTCGACTTCAATCCAAATGGCTTTTCTAACAAATCGAGCTGGTAGAGTAATTTTCAAGCCACTGTATTAGATGTACTGATAGCACAAATCCATATAACGATATTGATCTATGATCTTGAGTGATGTTTTGGATATTTGAGAATATTCTCCGAAAATTTGAAGTCGATCCAGAAAATAGTTTCGGACATATGAACGTATTTGGCCAAAACCTTAGATGCGTTTATCTCGATACCCTATTTTCACAGTTTAAAATCTATACCTAGACCCATTTTTCGGAAGTCTTTCGGAAGATCGGAATTTTTCCTGATTTTCATGCTACCCGAAAAGTGGTTCGTTCCAATAATTTGCACTTTTTCGTTCGAGTGCACAATTTCCTTTAAACGTGTGATAAATTTATTTCAATTAATACTTATTTCCTAGATTTATTGTGGTCTTTATATCGATAATTAATTTTTTATGACCTTCATAGCGCTATAAATTCCTTGCAGTAGACAAGACTGTCTGGTGTATAATCTGTAAGATTTTATGAACATTCCAATAGTTGAAAAGATACTGCTGACTTTTTATATTAGGAAAAAGTGGCGAAATTTTCGAAATTCAAACAAAAATATTTTACGAGCTAGTAATTTACTAAAGAAGAATATAGTCATGTGTAGAAGTTCAGGCAAGTGAGGAAAGAATAGAAACGATTCTTTTACATATGGTTCAAGCAGTTCTGGTCTTAGACCAAGTATCATCTGGGTATGCAACGAACAATTCGTTTGAAGGTGAGCTAAAGTGAGAAACCGAACCATCCCTCTCCATGGTTGTGCGCTGGGTTTGGGAACCGCCACTTAAAAAACGCCCCATGAAAACTAAACAACAGACGGAAAGATAAATTTTTAGCATTAAACAAATTTTTCAATCTGGGTTTTAGATTTAATTTTTTTTATTTTTCAATCCTGTTTGGGTCAAATTATTTTCCAAACCCGGTATTTGGGAATAAACATTTAAAAAAATATTTTTAACTAAGATTCTCGGGATTACAAAATAAAAAAAGATTCCAATTTTTATTTCATAATTTTTCTTTATGCATTTAACTGCAACTCTAGTTCCAAGTAAAACAAATGAAAACAGCCAAGAAAATAGTTAGACTTTTCTTTATTCAATATATAATAGCAGAGCCAATAACAAAAATATATAATGTAGCCATCATAAATTTCCAATAGGGAATATATACATATACAATGTGTTAAAGCATTATTTTTTTCTCATTTAAGGTATACAAGTATAAATCATTCACAGCAATCTAATCTACACGAAACTATCGTTGAATAACGTGTTAGATAGTTGCTTGCCAGGTAACAACTTGCTTATTCCTTGCGATTAGCCATGGTCTGCTCGATTTCCTCCACGGTGCGTGGTACTTGGGCGAAATTCTCACAACCGCCATCTTTAATCAGGACATCGTCTTCTATGCGCACACCGCCGAATTTACGGAAACGTTCATACACTTCTTTCACGATGAATCTGTTCAGATTGGGATCGGCAAGTGCACGATCCATTAGATATTCAATGAAGTAGCAACCGGGTTCAACGGTCACGTACATGCCCGCTTTCAAAGTGCGTGCGAAACGCAATTTACACAGCCATGGTTCAGCTGGGCGTTCTGGTTGTCCTGTTAGGTAGCCACCAACATCGTGCACATCCAAACCGAGCAAATGACCGAGACCGTGTGGTTGGAAAATGCCCGCTAAACCAGCGTCAAGCATATCCTCTACATCACCTTTAAGCATGCCACCTTCTTTCAATTTCCTTAGCATAACACGACACGCCAACTTGTGCATATCTACCCATGAGACGCCTTCGCGTGCTTCTGCCAGCACAGCGTTTCGTCCAGCCAAGACGGCATTATATATAAACTTTTGATCTTCGGTAAATTTACCATTTGCTGGGAAGCTGCATGTTATATCAGCTGCATAACCACAATAATTTGCGCCCATGTCGAATAGGCACATATCTCCATCACGTACTGGTCCGTCGTTTGGTGCACCCGCGTGTCCGTAGTGCAGCACCGCAGAATTCACACCACTACCGCAAATGCAAGTGTACGAGGCGTGCCGACAGCCACCAACAGCGTAGGCGTGATGCAAAAATACAGCCTCACCTTCATACTCTGAACGTCCTGGGCGCATAAATTGCATAACACGTATGTGCGCATCCGAGGACACTTTCGCGACATAACGCAAAACCTCAATCTCTTCGGGTGACTTGATGACGCGACATTCAGCTATCACTGGATGTAAGATTTCACAATCGACGATAAATTTTTCGATCCCTTCAAAACGCGCTGGTTTGGATACTATGCCACTGTCCGTGTTGAGCCCACTCAACGTCAGTATGACCGAAGGTTGTGCGTTCGCGAAGAATGAATTCAGTTCGTCCACATAACGGACCTCATCTACCTCATACATTCGTTTGAATTCCTCACATGTATACAATTTTCCCATCCAAGTGGCATACTCTTCTGGTAAACGCGGCACAAATAAATTGGATATGCCAGTATGAACATTCAGTACACCATAACAACCAGGCTCCTTGACGCCAAACAAATACTGGAAATAGGACTCCTGACGGAAAGGATAGCTCACATCTGTATCATTGAAGCTAACATCGTCGCCGCCAGCCAATAAAACATGTGCTTTAGGTTTAATAGAACTATGTTGCTTCAGTGCAGCGCACAATTTCTCACGGTTTTTGCGGAAGAGTGACATTGGCACAGAGTGCGTCAGTGGACCCAAACGAAAGGAGGCCATTTTATGGTGACTTTGCTTTGTTTAGTACTGTAAAAAAAACTAGCCGTAAATTATCGTTCTATTATTTATATGTAATTTTTCTGCTATCACTTACGTCTGTGTAGTTGGAATTATAAACCGCAACTGAATTTTATTCCCGTAACTTTTATCTCGTTTTCTGTGGTTGTCCAATTAATATTCCAATGGTTTTATTGCACTTCAGCTAATCAGTAAACTGGATGGAATACACAAGTTATAATCGACAACGGAGAAACTTTGTCTGTTTTTTGATTTATTTTTGTTATTGTTTTGAATTCATTTTGTTTTTGTACATTCAGCTGATTAGAGCTGGCACTGTGATTGTGTTAGTAATGCAACGTTGCAATTTCTGAACGATAATTTATCGATTACGAATAATCGAAATACTGAGAAATGAAATTATTTTATGGAAATAGTTTTTTTGTTTGAATAAAGCTAAGACAATGACTTCATTATTTATTTTAATACATAATTCCACAGAAATAATAGAAGATGCTACATGGGCATCTGCTTTAAGCAACAAACCGGATCAGTTGCCTTCCCGAATTGTCCCTGACCGTCAAACACCTCTCTAATCACCTCTTTGCATGCTAATCCTAATCACCTGACAACTCTCTTCCTATGGTCCAGGCTCATCGAAACAGCGCGTTTCGTGAATCTACCTCGATGAGATGACTTCGATCACAACTTATCTAATACTTACCATCCTAACGGGGCACACGGAAACAAAATTTCTCTAATCTGACCTAGACCATTGAGCTCCTTTAAGGATCTTACCTTCAGAAAATTGGTTAAGTCCAATCGACGAAAACGCAGAGCTTGCGCGAGGGATGATGAGACACTGGTGTGTTACGTTTAAAAAGGCTGTCTTCAACCGGTTGAGACTACCAATTTTCTACGCCTACCAACGATTCTACCTCACGACATTGGGTAGGTGAGAAGCCACTTAGTAATATTTTACGGGTCATCTCAGGGCACGCAAGATGAGACGTATTATACCAAATCACTAGGATGCTGGATTGAGCTTAATTGGTTACCACTCGGAAACACAAAGGGCTTAATCATGATTAAAGTGTGGCCGCCTACGGTCTGGCGCCCTTCCGCATCCCTTTTTAAACCAACCATCTAAACTAACCCATTGTCTCCGATCTTAACTACATTTACGTGCGACCACAATTGACACCCGACAGATAACAGTTGTCAATAATACAATGGACCCAAATAAAACTTCAGCTTCTTTAAGTGTCAATTCCAAGTCTTTGCATTTATTCAGCTTGATCCAATTTTATTTTGAAAAGGCACAAATCCGAAAATAAAATATTGAATGTTAAAATCCCTAGAACTATACTAGAACATATAAATTTAGATAAGCTGAGTATCGACAAAAATATTGAAAGAGCCTATAACGGAATGAAACTGAAAGAGGCTAGCTTTAAGGATCTATACAAAATTAAGGTCTTATTTTTTACTGATCACGACCTTTTCGAAGTGCTCCTTGGCGGTGTGAGTAGTGTGGGCGCCGCCCGCGTGACGTGGCACACACATGCGCATCGAAACCCTCTGCTGGTTGAGCCAGGCATTCGGTGCATGTGGGAAATCATCTTTTCGATAATAGCCCATAATGCCTGACTTGCGTATCGAACCGATTTCGTAGGTGATGAGTGGGCTCAACAAATTCGAGGCGTGCGCATTTGGCAGTTTTGCCACCTTCGACTTCTCCATCGTACGCATGACACATGTCGTGTCGCAGGAGATGCAGGCGAGATCCTGCAGCACCTTTATACGTGCACCCGCGGCGGCGCACTCGTCATTTGTGGCGTCCATATACTTGCGCAGTGTCTCCTGCAGTCCCTGTATTTGCGCCTCTATCTTCTCCTTAAATCTATTCAATATATCATCTACAGATGCCAAACCGAGCGTTATCCTTATATTATCCATGGCCTGATACATATTCTTATCGTTAGTTTTGATTTGATTTTGAACTTCGGTGAATTTCTTATCTAAACGGCATTGGAACTCTTGCATCTGTTCGTTGGAGACTTTACGTTGCAATTGATTGTAGTCAACTTTATCAGCTAGTAATATCTCAATTTCACTCTTATCGATCTTATCATTCATTATTTCATCTATGGTTTTGGTAAGCTCATCAATGGTTTCGCTGTAATTAACGTTTTTCGATTCCATGCGATCGGTAGCCTCTTTCAAACTGGTTACATAAAATTTCAGATCTTTGAGCTGTTCCTGCAGATCGGCGATGAGCCTTGTGGTACGCTGACAATCCTGTTCTAGTATGGTGGCAGTAATTTCATTGACTTTGTTCGTTAGCATACAGAACTCTGACTTGAGGTCCATCAGCTGATCCAATAGCTTGTCGGGTGAGTAGCAGAGATGGGCATCTAACTCGTATTCTTCTTGTGTTGGTCGAACTGCTGGTGGTACCGTAATATGTGAAGTCAGTGGCGATTTGTAGGAGGGATCACTGTGCATGCTTTCCTCCTCATCTTCCTCATCTTCAATTCCATCTTCCAGTCGGTCCAAATCGGGATCGAAGTAGGTATCGTCTATACGAAAACCATATGCATTTTCTATATACGTATTTTCCTTTTGTATGGCAATCATTTTCTTTATTAACGATTGCAATTGTTCTATTTGCATGGGCGTGGCTCTCTTTTGGACCGTTATAGAAACGACAAGCCGCATAAGTTCCATAACCAGTTCGAGTTGATCCTTCATAATGGTAATGCCACGATATACGGAACTCGTTAATTGCTGATGTTCTAGTTGTATGGCAAGATCAATTTCTTCACCCGAAGTTTTTGCTTCGACTGGTTGATCGAACACCTCTTCGCCAGTTGCTGGCACAATTTCTAACTCTATTGGTTTTTCAATTGATTGCTTTCTCGCTGGTGGTGCAACGGGTTCAGGTGGTGCCTCTAACTGTCCTTCTTCCACTACTTCTAGCTGAGGTCCTTCTTGAATATTTTGCGCTTCTTCACCGCCTTCCCCTCCTTCGCCTCCTTCACCAGCTTCGGCTTCTTCAACTTCTGTACCTTCAGCTGTTGCAGTATCCTCGGGATCAGCACCGCCCGTCTCTCTTTTACGATTGCGTTTCATCAACGGCTTTGACGATTCCTTCGCATGACGTAGCGTGGAGCCTTTACTATGTGCAAAACTGACTGAGCCCGGATATTGATCACAGGAATCGCTCCCGAACTTGCCACTGCTCATAACTATCGACACATTTTCGTACTTCGTGTTGTCCACAGGTTCATCGATAAGATTCAGCTTTTCGGCGAATGAAAAAAGTAAAAAATGGAGCGCGTAAAAATTTACATGTCCTGGCTCCGGCGAACCGATAGCCAGATCGATAAGTTGTCGAAAATTCAGTTCTGTTGACATTGTAACTTGTAAAGCTTAAGAAAAGAATTTATTTGAAACGGAAAGTGTTCTAAAAAAATAAGTTCTCCGAAAATATACTATTTTTCTTTTTCTCTTGTCAAATTTGAAATGTAATTCAATTCCTTCAAAATTTATAATTGAATTATGATTACCAAGACTTTGGAAAGTAAAAGCTTTAAACACAGATATGTATTTTTTTTAGTAGAATAAACTTTAAAAGAGGAAATCCTGAAGATACGTGGGATATATGGGAGGAGTTGTGGGATAGAAAATTAAACATACATTAGTATGTACTATCAGATAACTATCAATGATAGAGCCTATAGTAACATGAAACATTTAGACAATATTCTTACTCATAAGTTAAGATACAACATATCGATCACAATACAGGATTTGTTCGGATAGTAATAGGTCTGACGGAGCGTGGATTCGGTAGAGGATTTTCTCAGCTAACGAACGAGCGGCTGGTCGGTTGTCTCCGAGCTCCTGGAGAGTCAGGGCAAACCTTTTCACGCGACGTGTTTCTGTGAGCGCAAGCCGAAAATGCAGCGTGTTTTAGTGCGGAGGCACACGATTGAATTCTGCGTGAAACTCGATAAATCTGCAACGGAGACGTTTGATATGATCGGTGGCACCAGTCCTTTTTGGAGGGCCGGAAAGAGGTTGCTGATGAAGACCGTGCTGGAAGACCTGCGACTTCGACAAACACAGACAATGTGACTCGTGTGCTGAAAGCTTTGTACCCAGACCGTCGACTCAGTATTCGTTTAATTGCCCAGGTGTTAAATTTATCAAAATCTGTGGTTCATGCCATTGTGGTGGAGCACTTGAATATGCGCCAGGTGTGCGCGAAGATAGTCCCAAAAGTGCTCACTGACGACCAGAAAATGCGGCGAGTGGAATTGTGCTAAGAAAATTTGAACATATGTGAAAGTGACCCTCAACAGTTCCGCAGCCGCCCTACAGCCCAGATGTAGCCCATCGGAGTTTTTTTTGTTTCCTTGCCTGAAGGCTATTCCGGAGAATGCCTTTTGTGTCGCCTTCAATGATCGAAAAGCGCGCTTGCAACGCTTAATCGACTCATAAAGAGCCTATTTCGATAGAGCCCGTAGTAATGGAGTCTTTAAAGAATTGTAACGATTGGTTCAATAAATTTTTTTATATCGACTCAGTCGTATTACTTACCGGGCAAACCCTGTAGGTTTTGGCTTCAATTCCTGACTTGTATTTTATTTGGGGGAGAAGAATTAGATGTGATCTTGGCATTCGATAGAAAATTTTGTAGGAACATGGTAGAAATACACTGCCTGGTGGCGACAAAGACCCGCAGGACAGATCGAAAAGACTGCAGGAAATGTCTTGTGCACTCGTCCCGCATTGACAAGACAGCGCTGTAAGCATCTGGGGTTCTAATGGTATGATACGAGGAGGTAGCGATAGTGAGGCCGCAGAGTCCGTTAAAGTTTGCTTCAAGGGCAGGAATCCTACTCCTCTTGTACCTAGCAACTGAACTCCATCTAGTATCGCCAAAGCAGGCCTATGCGTGGCTTATTCTCCTACCAGATTAAGGTAACCTAACTTAACTTGAAAGCACAAAATCGAAAATTCGAGTCAATAAAACTAAGCCTGCTATAAATCTGTTGTTCTGATTTGTTAGACAAGTCGGTATCCATAACTATCTGTATAAGAATTTAGCTCGACAATGAAATTTTGTGTATTACTTTTGGGTTTGGGGAAAAAATGGATGGCAGGTGAATTCACTTTTAATCCAATGGACTTGGAATGATTACCGTTTGCATCATCGATGTTATGTGATGAGATCAAATAGTTCAGAACTAAATCAACCATGCTAAAACACATTGAAGAGATGCAACCTCTATTTTTCTGGATTCAGGTGTAGTTCCTCTACACGTTAGCGTATTGCAGGAGTTGCAAAATAATTTCATCCTGGCAATTCAATACTCCGGTGCAATGATTATTTTAGCATGACTGCCTATCTTGTGCTATTCAAAGGTTCGAGGATGGATGGTGTTGGGAGAGTTCGGTCTGAAGATATGGATGGCTGGTAGGTGGCATCTTTTTTTGACACCAACTGTTTTGAGTACTGAACGATTTGATTCAGAGTGACATGGCGAGTCATCTTGTTGAAACTCAAAAATCTCTTCCATGTTCTCATTTACAGTTATAATGAGCCCAAATCAATGAGTATCAATTTCCGCCGACTTCTTCGTTTTATTTTAAAAAACATTGACAGGACCCTATGATCTTAACAGTCATTGGTTGGTTGTTCTCGTTGTAGCGTAAGAACTCTGCCGAGCTGACAGTCCTTGATCGGAAAAAAATCCGGGTCCGCTCCGGTTACGTAGACCCGACTGTCGTGGGAAGGACAATTGGATGGTCATAAATTGCACTCCATTGAACACTAATGATGTTTTCTTTCACCAAATAGCGTATTTTTTTTTTACAACAGATAGTTTTAAATAGGTCTTAGAGTATTTGAAAAATTCCCTAATCAAAAACCAAACAGTGCCCTTATAGTTTAGAGAAAGCCTTTTGTATACGTGAAGCACTCGAACGTCAGTGATATTTTCAATTTAAAGAACACCGTCGCGTATTTTCTAATTCAGAGAGAAGAACAAGCATACTAAGCGAAAGTTTCGCGCTCTTCAGAGCTTTTAACGTTGGGATGTATTTGAGGGTATTTATCGAAAAAATCGAACCAGTACTAATTTTCGCACCGTTAGACATAAGACGGTGCAAAAATTTTAACCTCAAAATCAATTTCTAGACTGAGGTTAAATAATGAAATTAAATTGAAAAAATCCCAAGAAATTTGTCAAAATATAACAATTAAATTACCGACTAACTGCAAGTCATGCGATTTATACTACAACAAAGCTACACAGGTCGATATAGGTTAAATGCTTTTAAATAAAAAGGTGAACAATTTTGCCAATAATTGATTTGTCAGTCAAATGTACCAAACACTGGCGTTCTCTTCTGCGCAAATGACGTCACGTGCTGGCCTACGTTAGCACAAAGCTTCGACAGCACGCACACAGCACAACATTTATCGGCAAAATTGTAAAGAGAACAGCTTCGGCGCGGAGCTTTTATGACTGTCAATCAATTTGGCGGCTTGCGGCCAACCAATAAAAGTCTCAATGCGACAGAAGTTCGAAGGCATTCAAACGTGCGGAACGTGTATTACGGCGAAAGTGGAAAAGTGGAAAAGCGGAAACGGAAAGCAAATTTAAAAACTAACTGTGTAAATAAATAAGCGCATGTAGGCGCATGAGAAGTCAGAAAAAATGACAAATGGATATATTTAAGTGTGTGGATATTGGCATAAATATAGTGTCTAAGTGACCCTTAGACAAAGTGTGTTAATAGCGAAGTAAACAAACGCTTGTTCATGTGCGCGTTGCCGTGTCTGTTTGGCTAACGTGTGAATTGGCAAAGAATCCAGCATTCGACGAGAATCATCAAGTGGCAGTGCGAACAGGAAAATAAGTGTTTCTTAGTGTGTTTACAACGATGAAGTGCGTAATCTATGTAACTGCGGGGGATAGTGTGACAAATATGAGTAAATAAAAATAAAATCGAAATAACTGCGGGAGTGCGGTAGAGAATTTATTTGAAGATTTAATTAATAGTTGGTTGTCAAAAAACAAAAAAAAAAAAAATATGTATGTATAAATAAAAATTGCTTCAAAATATTGCATGAAATGGCCATCCGACTGGATTTATGCGAGTGAGTATACATTTTTATTTATATAAAATAACGTTTTTTTTATGAGAATTAAAAATTCGGTATTTGTTTCGAATTTTTTAAATAAT